CCCAGCTCCTCCTTGCGAACACGACATCCCCAACTCTCCCCCTCACGCCCCACTTTTGCCCCCTCTCCCCCTCACGCCCCACTTTTGCCCCCGCCCCCCCTTGCGCCCCCCACCCAACAACCACACCCAATCCCCACACATGTTCACATTTACATTCAGCGGCCCGCCCGTGCACTGACCACTGTGCACTGTGATATGAGGCTTCACTGTACAATTAATAACAGCTGTAAGGCTTCGGCCAACGAGGCTCCGGCCAACGATATTATTACTGCTCCGCTCAGCGCCGCGCCCGCCCCGCCCTCGCCCTCCGCCCGCCCTTGCCTCCGCCCAGCCCTCCACCCAGCCCTCCGCCCTCCGCCCTCGCCCTCCGCCCTTGCCCTGGCCGGTCTGGCATCTCTTCATCTTCACGCGCCAAGTAGGAGGGAAGTGGAGACGGGGCCCTGAGCCGACCTAACCGCCAAACGGAATGGGGCGCCAAACACGTGCCGGACGATAACCGTGCCCCTTGCACGCCGGGCACGGCCTTTCGGTTCGTGAAGGGTCGGTGCGAGTCGTGACACCCTGGCACAACCGTACTCTCCCGCACCATCTCCGTTGCTCGGTTTTTCAACCTTGCTCCGACTGGGAAGCGGCCAGGGATCACACGGGAGCCGCCTAAGCGACTCCTGCGAGGACGGCGAGGCACTTAGCTCCGTGCACCCGCCCGCCGCCCCCGCCACAGGCAAGCTCATTCAAGCATGGGCAACTGGGCGTCCGACCTGAGCATATCTCCCCATATCTCCCCATATCTCCCCATATCTCCCCATAGGTAACTGGGCGTCTGACCTGGCGCCGTCGTCAGGGCGGGAGGACCCCCGACGCGATGCCAGCCGCCTCTCCCTCTCCAACTCGTGCCAGGCACGACCTTCGTCGTCCAGCCGTTTGCGCAGCATGCCGTCTTCAGCGCGACGCACTTAGTCTCGGACGACTGCTTCCGCCCCTCCGCCGCGGGCCAGGAGCGGCTCCCCCTCCCCGCCCCCTCCCCTTAAGGCTCATTAAAAATATGGAATATATTGCTCCAATACTTAGAGGAGCGATCAATATCAATATATATTCCAATACTTAGAGGGGGATTGGCCTGGGCTGGTCAGGGGGGTCTCAATATATCAATATATCCAGCGGTGGGCGGTCGATCTCTAGCTTGCGGACGCCCTAAAACCGCTCAAAATGGGCCCAAACCGCTTCAAAATTGCTCGGGTCGCATCAAAATCGCTTCGAACGCGCGAATCTTTCGATTTCAGCCACCATCTAGGCGATGTTTGGAAGAAATGTTGACATTTATGCTTTTTGAGGTTGAAAATCAGCGATCAATATGTCAATATATTGTCAATACTTAGAGGTGAGCTTGACAATACTCAATATCAATACTTAGAGGGGCGAGAATCAATCTTTTTAATGAGCCTTACCTCCCCTCCCCCTCCTCTCCTCCTCCTCTCCTCCTCCTCGGCCCATCTCCCCATCTCGGCCCATTCGGCTCATCTCGGGTCCTCTCGGGTCCTCTCTCGGTTCATCTCGGCTCATCTCTCGGCTCCTCTCGCCTCCTCTCGGCTCCTCTGACTCGGCTCATCTCGGCTCATCTCGGGTCCTCGGCTGACCTCCGACTGTACGGGGGTCCCTTGCCTACTTACGCGTACGCAGAGTTACTGAATAGAGAGTGTGTCTCGGTGTACACGTCGTTAGACGTGGAGACGCGAGGGTCGCCCCCCTTGCCCCACCACCCCGTGTGTGTGGAGAAGTTTACCGTACCTTACCTTTACCTGCACACGTACCGACGTACCACCCCGCGGCTTTGAGCTCTATCTAGTTCGAACGAACCCGCGGAACCCCAGCAGCTCGAGCGCGAGCCGCTCATACACACATCCCAATCCGTGCGGGGAAATTGAATGCTTCTTTCGCACGACACTGTGTTAGTGCCAGTGCGCGCCAGTCCCGTGCCCAGTGTCGTGCGAGCGAGTTGCGTCTACTTCTTTCGCACCCTGTTGTTCCGCTGCTGAGCCACAGGCACAGCCACAGTCAGACGGTGTGAACGGCGTCTGATCTGTGATCAGCGTCTTCCTACCCTTCACACAGCGTCTTCTTCTGTCCGGCAGCGTCTTCCTCTGTCCGACGGCGTATTCCTTATCATCGAACTCTACATATACTCATACTGTGCTCCCATTCACATAAACGCACATTCACACACATATAGTGCGGTTCCTGGTCGGTCGCCCCCCCCCCCCCCTCTTCACAACAACCTGGTTCAGCTGCTAGCCCTGCTACACAGCTCTCCGACACAGTTGCGCCGATCGCCTCAGCCGCCGCCGGCCGCCGATGGATTCGCCCTACTGCCCCTCGCATGCGCCCTTCTTCGGCTTCGTCGGCGCCGCCCTCGCGCTGATCTTCGGGAACATGGGGGCTGCGTGCGCCGCCGCCCCCGGCCCGGTCGCAGACAGCCTGTACGGCGAATGGCGATGTGTGACCGATCGGGCGCCGCCGCAGGTACGGGACGTGGAAGTCGGCCGTCGGCCTCGCCACCATCTCCAAACTGCCGCGCCACAAGGCGCGCCCGCCCGCCCTCTTGCCTTCCTAGCGCACGCGGCGCTGACGCAGAAGCGGAGCGCACAGCTGGCGGCCCCCCCCTCCGTCGCCGCCCCACCGCCGCCGTGCTGCGGGCCGCGCAGGTGCAAACCGAGATGGTGATGAAGTCCATCATGCCCGTCATCCTCTCTGGTGTCTGCGGTGCGCTCAGTCCCGCTGCCGCCCGCTGCTGCGCTCTCTGCCCGCCGCCGCACCATTCTCTGCCTGCGCCGCGTGCGCGCCGCGTGGTGTTGACGGCGTGATCCGCCTCGCGCTCACCCACCGCCGCCGCCTCGCGCCAGGCATCTTTGGCCTCATCATCGCGGTGATCATCGCCACCAACATCACCACGCCAAAGGACGGCACGTCCACCTACTCGCTCTTCTCCGGCTACGCCCACCTCGGCTCGGGGCTGACGGTCGGGCTGAGCAACCTGGCGACCGGCCTGGCCATGGGCATGGCGGGCGAGATTGGCGTGCAGGATTCCGCGCGGCAGCCCAAGCTCTACATTGGCATGGTGCGCCTCCTCGCAACGACCTCTCATGACGCTGCACCCATTGATACTACGCCCTCACCGTCCGCTGCTCCGTCGCCGCCGCCGCCCTCGCCGCCGCCCTCGCCGCCGCCTTCACCGCCGCCTTCACCGCCCTCGCCCTCGCCGCCGCCTTCACCACCGCCGCCCTCGCTGAAGCCCTCGCCGCCGCCGCCCTCACCACCCCGCCCTCGCCCCCGCCGCGCCGCCCATTCGCCCCCGCCGCCCATTTGCCCATTGCGCCTGTGCTCTCAGGTGCTCATTTGGTCCTTTGGGTCCGCCCTCGGCCTCTACGGGCTGATCGTCGCGCTCATCATCGCCGTCAAGGACGGCAGCGCGATGTGCGGCTGCCTGCTCGGCGAGGATGGCCAGGTCACCTGCACCGACCTGTGAGGCACCGCGGCTCGCGAGCTTAGTTATCATCAGCACAGGGCGACGGGGCGGCGGCGGCGGCGGCGGCGGCGGCGGCGGCGCGCTGCGATACGCCCCCCCCCAGCCACGCCGAGGGCCGTCGCCTGCGGGGCGCCGCGCTCTCGGCATTGGGTCGGCCCCCTCGTCTGTGCATGGGCTGCGCCGGGCCGTTAGCACACCAGGGGCGCCAGCAGCCCGGGCACCTCGGTACATTTACTCTTGGCTTACGTGTGAGTCTTACGTTTACTCTTGCACATTGAAAGTAAAAGATCTTTACTTCCCACACCCGGACGTTCCCGCCAGCAGGACCAGGAGCACGCGCAGCAGCGAGCAGGGCCCAGGGCGGTGGTGATGGAAGGTTCTTGTACATTGAAAAAGAAAAACTGTTCAAGCAAAAAGGAATCGCTGGCGCTGCGTGTAATTTTTTAGGAAATCCCCTGCCCGGCCCCGGGGAGCGGCAGGGGACAGGTCATGGCTCATGCAAAAGCCATAAATATATGCCATAAAACACGGGCCCTGAGCCTGACCGCGGTGTGACCGAAACGCGTACATCGGCACACATTGTCGGCCGATGCGCGGCTCGCCGCCCACACCCGACGCGGTCCCTAGGTGTTATATAGCATAAAAACCGTTCGTGCAGGGCTCCTAGGCCATCACTAGGTCCACAGTGGACGGACACACAGCCTCAGCCGGCCCGCCGGCGGGCTCCCGACCGGAGCCTGTCCGGAAGGCACAAACGGACACTCTACCGACCTCTACACCCCTAGACAACCCACTCCGACTAGCATACGGTGTCGGCCCGACCGCCCTGCGGCCCCAGCTACCAGCTGGCGCCGCTCGGCCCGGCTGGAGGCGCCTGGGGCGTCCAAAATCGCGGAGCCGGCGACGTCCTCCGGCCAGCAGCTCCGGATCGGGCGTCCGACCCGCCCCCTCGGCGACCCGAGATGGTCTCCCCGACCCCCGAGGCTTGGCGCACCGCGGGAGGGGGGCAGCCCAGCCACCCTGCACCGCCCAGGCCGCCTCTGCGAGCCCAGGCGCGCCGTCGAGAGTGCCGACGCGATGTCGACGATTTTGGCCTGCGAGACGGGGGCGAGGAGCGGTGGGATCCTGTTGAGGGTCCATGTGGGCGCTCCACCCTCGCGCTCTGCGGCCATTCGGGGATTCTGGCCATTTGCGCGACCGGCAGCGCTTCTTCCGGACGCCCTGCCCGCCGAACTCGGTCGGGTCGGTCCTGCCTGCCTGGCACTCGCGACAGGTACCGTATCTAGGGAACAAGAAACGAAACGAGTCAGCGCTCTCCTCCTTCTCCTGCTTTCAGTAAACAGGCGGGAATGAACAAAGACCACCTTCGTGCCCAATTACGCAAAAATACCCCCAAATTACCGATCGGCACTGCACGAATATCGCCCCCTCCGCGACAGGCGACTCACACTCGTTGGTGACGTGATAGCGAGCACCTTCAGGACCAGAAGGCAGGGGCGGGCAGCCGCCCTCCACCTCCGCCGCAGCAAAAGAAAACCAGCAGCTCAATGTGCCAAACCCAGTCGGCGTGCCGTCCTCCCATCCCTCCCTTGGGTTGTCTGTTTTCTTCCTTTCTTTCTTTTAGTCTGCCAGTGTGTGTGTGTGTGTGTGTGTGTGTGTGTGTGTGTGTGTGTGTGTGTGTGTGTGTGTGTGTGTGTGTGTGTGTGTGTGTGTGTGTGTGTGTGTGTGTGTGTGTGTGTGTGTGTGTGTGTGTGTGTGTGTGTGTGTGTGTGTGTGTGTGTGTGTGTGTGTGTGTGTGTGTGTGTGTGTGTGTGCAATATACTCACTCACACACCCAGTCTGCCACCTTAGAAAAAAGAAGGCGGCCGGTCCGTGGATGGATGGAGGCGTGCGCGTCTTCCCGTCACCCCAAGTCGGTCGGTGGCAGTCTGGCGGCATCGGATCGGTCGGACCGCAGCTTACCGCTCTGGCGGCATCGGATCGGTCGGACCGCAGCTTACCGCTCTTCTTCGTTTTTGAGCGGCCGCACGCACACTGCTGGTGAACCTTCTCTTCTGCAAGTGTTGGATTGCAAGCAGCCTCGCTCGCAATCCTAGAAGTCGAAGGATTGTGAGCGACACTCGCATAAATAATGGCTAGTTCCATTTCACTCCAACACGTGGCGGCGCGAGCGAGCCGAAGGCATCGTTGTGCCACCGAGTCGACGGCAGAGAGTCGTTTTTGAGTTGGGAAAGCGATTTGCGCGTTGGAGGGAACTTCGAGGGTGCCATTGATAGCTGCGTGCTTATGAGTTTATGTGAGCTGTGTGAGCTGTGAGTGGGCTTCTGGGCATTCTCAGGGTGAGAACCTGTGTATTTTCTCTCGCATCTCGGTGTTTTTGAGAGAAGATTATGAGACGAGACCCCCAGGCCCAAGACACCGAATCCGAAACGCGAAAGCAACACACGGATGCAAAGCATAAGAAACCTGCATGTGAGCTGTGCCAGCCACCCCAAATCACCCAACACGTCCGCCGCGTCCACCGCGTCCGCCACGCCCGCCTCGGCCACCCCGCCCACCCCGCCCACCCCGCCCGCCTCGCCCCCCTCGCCCACCGACCGCCGCCGTGACGCCCACGGGCTGAGCCTGGGGCACGGTGCGCGATGGCGGCTGGTGGACAAACGTCGTCTGCGCCGCAACATGCGCTCCGACTGCGGCGATGGGCAGCGCCGGCTGGCGGCAGGCCGGGCAGTTGCTGTCGCGCTCCAGCACGCGCGGCGCACATGTCCCGCAATACAGAGCGTGGCCGCACGCGAAACGGACCGAGCGCGGCGCGTCCCAGCAGAGGTCACACAGGCGCTCCTCGGCCCCAGCCGTCTCCTCCACCTCCCCCGCCGCTTCGACTAGCGCCTCCAGCCGCGGCAGTGCGTCTGCGAGCGGCATTCGCTTTCTCTTGCGCTCGTATGCTAGCCCGACCACCAGCCGTGTCAGCTCCTCGGCCTGCGCCGCCGACCAGCCCGCGTCGGCCGCCGCGATGCCCTCCGCCGTGTCGGGCTCCTCCAGCGCATAGTCGCACGCGTTGAGCAAGCCGACGGCGCCGCGGCCGGTCAGGCTGACGAGCAGCGTGATGCCGAGCGCGAAACCGTCAGTCAGCTGCGAAGCCTGGTTGTCCAGCGAGATGATCGGGTCCATGTAGCCGGGCTTCCCAAAGATGCGCTGCGTCGACAGGTGCGACACCTGCTGGCTGCTGCCGGCCGTCGCCTCCGCCGCGCGCGCGAGTCCCACGTCGGCGAGGAATCCATTGCCGCGCTCGTCGAGCAGGATGTTGCCCGCCGAGACGTCGCGGTGCAGGATCATGGGCGAGAGCGTGTGCAAGTAGTGCAGCGCGCTCGCCGCGTCGCGCAGCACGCGGAGCCGTGCGGCGGAGGAGAGCGGCGGAGGCGGCGTCTCGAAGCCGAGCATGCGGAGCCGCTGCAGTGCAGCTGGAGTGCGGTAGATACGGTCCTCGAGGCTGCCGCCGCGGCAGAGGGGGTAGACGAGGCAAGCTCTCGCCGGTGCCAAGCAGACGCCGAGCAGAGGGAGGAGGGACGGGTGGCACGCCGCGCTGAGCGTGCGCACCTCGCTCTGCAGCTCGGCGAGGCCTTGTGCGCCGACACCGACCAGCGCCGTCTTGACGGCGAACCCGCAAGCGACACGCGGCAGCGACGGCAGCGCGTCGCAGCGGTAGACGCGCCCGAAACCGCCCTCGCCCACCTTGCGCGCCTCGGCAAAGCCGTCGGTCGCCGCGATGAGCTCGTCGAGAGGGACGGCGGCGGGCGGCGCGGCGGCGGCGGCGAGGGCGGCGACACTCGCCGCCGCCGACGCTGCCGCCGCCGCCGCCGCCGCCGCCGCCTCCGCTGCCGCTGCCTCTTGAGCCTCCGCCGCCGCCACGGCCGCCACTGCCGCCTCTACAGCCGCCGCCTCCGCCGCTGCCGCCGCCGCCGCCTCCGCCGCCGCCGCCGCCGCCGCCTCCGCTTCCGCCCTCTCCCTCGCTTCTTCCCTCTCCCTTGCCGCCTCCTCCCTTGCCTTCGCCTCTGCCTCCTCCCTTGCCCGCGCCGCCGCATCCGCTTCCTCCGATGCCCGCGCCGCCCGCGCCTCCGCAGCTGCTTCAGCCGCCCGCGCCTCGTCAGCCGCCCGCGCCTCCTCCGCCGCCCGCGCCTCCTCCGCCGCCCGCGCCGCCGCCTCCGCCTGCTTCGCCGCCGCCTTCTCCTCCTTCTGCCGCTGCCGCTTCAGCGCCCTGGCCTCGCGGGCCTTTCGCTCCGCCAGCTCGTCGCGCAGCCGCCGCGCCGCCCGCAACGCCTCTGAGCCGTCGGCGACGTCGACGTTCGCGTTGATCGCCGCCCTGAGCGCCTCGAGATTGGCGTCGCCTCGGCCGCACGCCTCCACCGCCTCGCGCAGCGCCGCCTCGGCAGCATCGCGCGCCTCCGCAGCCTCCGCAGCCACTGCCACCTCGCGTGCGGCCGCCGCGGCCTGTTCGGCTGATTCTGCGACCGCCGTCTCCCCCTCCGCCGCTGCTGCGGTCGACGAGTGCTCCTCGAGGGCGCGCACGCACTCGGCGTGGCCCATCTCCTTGGCCAGCCGCAGCGCCGTCTGGCCTCTCGTACTGCGCACCGCGGTGTCTGCGCCCGCCCGGAGCAAGCGCCGCACGACGGCGGGGCGGTTCAAGAGGGCAGCGGCCATCAGCGCGGTGACGCCCTTGCTGCTCTGCAAGTTGACCTCCGCGCCGTGCCGAATCAGCAGCTCGACCACCCGCTCGTAGCCGGCGGCAGCTATCAGCGCGGTGCAGCCGATGCCGTTCTGCAGGCTGATCTCCGCGCCGTGCCGAATCAGCAGCTCGACCACCCGCTCGTGGCCGCTGTAGGCGGCGCCCATCAGTGCGGTCTGATCGTTGCTGTCCTGCAGGTTGACCTCCGCGCCGTGCCGCAGCAGCAGCTCGACCACCCGCTCGTGGCCGTGGAGGGCGGCGCCCATCAGCAGCGTGA